GGCATGAAATTTCCACATGCTAAGGTCTGCTGTGGTTGGACTGCTGTCTCTTGGGCTAGTGTCACTTCGGGCTATTTCACAGGTGTTTAGTTTTGATGTGTCATAAATGAAGACTCAGATTGACATTGGTTGTCAGTCTCCAAGCTGTATTTACCCAGCTCGTAAGTCCCATAGGTCCTTGTCTTTGCTTTTGTCAGAATGGAAATGGCTTTTGGGCCTGGGGTGGGGTCTGCCCCTAACGAGTAGCAAGATGTGAGTTTTAGAAGCCTTGCTTTGCTACTCGGCAAGTCCCCTGCCCTTTAATAAAGCCATTGCTTACGTTATATGTGGTTCATATTTAATCCACAGTCCCTGTGCTCTAGTTTGGGGAGGCAGTCTGGTGGCTATTGGAAGGTGTTTAGTGACAAGGCAACAGCCCCTTGTTGGAAACTGCTTCACAGATCCACTTGCCTTGCGGTGGGGCTTGTCCAGATTGGGATTCTCCTGGGATCTGGGAACATCTGCTTTCACCCAGTCCCTGCCCAGTGCTGGGGGCACAACCTAGGGCCTCGCACATGCTAGGCAAGCGCTCTACCACCAAGCTGCCCCCAGCCTTAGTTTGCCTTTTGTCCCTGGAATGGTGGATGCCTGTTTGGCCGGTCCTGTTGGTTTCTTACCTCGTGTCCGTCCTGCTCTGTGGCTTAAGCAACACTGGCTTTGCTGGGGCCGTGGCTTGTCCTTCATCAGGTCATGAGTGGAGGGTGATTATGCTGGTCTTGGAGTTCTCTCTTCCACTCTGCTCCCTGTGGCTTTCTGGGATTACTCATCCTTGCTTCATAAAAGGGATAGTAGAGCTGGCTTTCTCCTGTCCCCTCTGAGATACTCAGAGTTGTGATAGTCCTCTGTGATAGTGAGCTACGGGTCAAGAGTGAAGATTTTGGCCTGATGGAGCCTATGAGCCTGCTCCCTACTTCTGGTCTAGTTATGACAAAAAGGTGTCCTTGATTTACAAGGAGTCTGGGTGCTGTGGCTGGGCTATTTCTCATTGAGTGGCGTTTTGTTTGTTGTGAGGCTGCTTCATGCTGGTGACATGCACCCATCCAGGCTCTGGAGGACAGGAGTTACTCGGTGTCCTCCATCATCAACAGACGATCCTGTTATGGTCAAAGAGCAGACCCTTACTCACTACCCTGAGTGTCATCTGGTTGCAAGCCACAGAAACCCTTTCCACCAAAGGTACTTTTTGACTGTAGTAACTTGGAAACCCAGGAGTTGAGTGGAGCTGGATTCTGGGGCCCCAGGTCTCCCCAGATCTGTTTCTGTCTTGCTCAGCACAGCCTCTGTGTGGGTAGGGGGTCTTTCCAACTGGGGCCTCTCTACATGATAAAGAGAAAAATGGCCCCATGTGGGTCCAGGTTTGCGGGACCATTAAGGCTTCTGCTTCTGGAACGGGGGTCAGCAGAGTTCTCTTTCGGGCTCAGGTAGCCACCTTGTATACTCTGGGCCGTGCGGTTTCAAGCGCAGCTACACGTTCCTGCTGTTGTAGCAGGAAGGCAGCCACAGACGACACGTGAGCAAATGGGAGTGGCTGTGATCCAGACCTCGACACACAGATGTGTGGTGGCTGAATTTGGCCCCAGACTACAGTTTGCTGACTTCTGTCCTAGAAAGATGACCAGGTAGACGTTGTGTGGAGGATCCTGTGGTACAGACCCGGACTCGTGTGAGACTAGTGAGACCTGGTCTTTGGTCACAAAATTTAAGAAGTATCAAAAAACTCATCATTCAACATAATATTTCATGTAATACTTTCAAAAATTAAAGTTGATGTGAAAAAAGCCACAATGAACAAACCATCAAGTAGGGTCAGGATGAAGATGAGTTGTGTGCTCTGTTGTGGCCTGGTAATTGCCAGCCTGGGTTAGCTGCTACCTGGGGGTGGGGGTGGGGAGAGAGCAAGGGGTGGAAGTGAAGACAACTCCACAAAGTCTGAAAGGCACATGCTCCTTTTGGGAGAGAGGGGTGCTGTAAGCAGAAGCAGGGGGGAGGGGTGCTGCTGACTTGTCTTCATGCCTCAGCTTTGTTGCAAGGGTGGTAATAATATGAATAGCTGTTTTTCACTGAACACCAATTATATTACCAGGCTGTTGTTATGGCTAACAGCATTTATTGGCTCTCATTTTCTCATTTTCCCTGTATAACAGCCCTTAGAGGTAGATACTATGATGGCCATTGTACAGATGAGGAAAATAGAGGACAAGGTGTAAGGCACCCACCCAAGCCACACAATGCCTCAGTTAGAATCTGAGCCCTGGCGTTTATCTTCCTTGTAGTCTCTAGGGATTGACAAGGAGAGCTGAGGCCTGCTGGGAGCTGGCAGACTGTGCTGCCCATCACTGTCTATTAACAAGTACCCCAGGAAGCTTGCCATGCTATCCCCTTACCTCCTGGCTCTCACTCTTGTTGGCATTTGGCTTTCAGGTGTTCTGAGAGCCAGAAGCCCTTGCACACTTTTGGAATGTATCCCACATTTCAAAGCAGATCAGTACATATTCCCAAATTAAATTATGGACACACAGCCTGCTTTAAATGGCAGGTGAGCTGCACTTTAAATAGACCACATTAATTCTGGCGGTGGAAGTGGAACCCTACTGTGATGATTCCTGCAGTCAGTGTTGCTCTGACAAGCTTTGAAAGGGTTCTGTGGCAGTAAGTAATTTACAAAATTGAAAGGAGAAAACACACGGTAAAGAGTTCCTGAGCATTCAAGGTCAAAGGGAGGCGATTGCATTTCTTGAGGAAGTCTGAGTGCAGGTGAGAGTCACTTGATCCGCAGCGTGATGGAATTACAGGTGGCTGGCTGAGCATTTGGAAACACATTATTGGACTGCTGGCCTCGGGCACTGCTCTCCTACATGCCCTGTCCTGGGTTCTGAGAGTGGAAAAAATACCATCTGTACATTGTGGTTTGGACTGATCTGATGAGTTTGGAAAGGGGGCGAGTTGGACATGTGACGATTGAGAGGGGACTGTCCCGAGCCAGTTGCCCATCGGTTTTGTTATCTTGGGGAGTTGATTCTGAAGGATCCCTAAGGGCCGCTTGGTCCATAAGGATTTGTATCCTAAAAGGAGAGTTTGAAGACTCGTTCTCCAAGGGGTCTGGGCTGTTGAGCATGAGCTGGAAGTTGGAGCTGGCAGCAGAGGCTCGGCTTTTCCTCCTGTGGATTAGGCAGCTGTGAACATGCTCACTTTGGAGAAGGTGGAGTGCCCCCGTTGCAAAAGGCAAAGTACTGTTGGGGGTTTGCAGTTAGCTGGCATGGTATGGCTTAAGGAGCACTAGGAGCTATGTATCCCTAGGCACGTTCTTCACTGGTCCAGGCCTGGGACTTTGTCTTTGTGGAGATGGCCTTGGTGGTTATGAGGTCAGATGGCAGTGTTTGGTATGGTGGCTGGTATAGTTGATGCTCAGTGAATAAATAATACCTGTTGCCACCCTTGCTATTGGAAGCATGAAAAAGTGTTGACAAGCCGATTGTTAAGAAAGTTGATCATAAATGAGGTATACATGAAGAGTACAACTAGGAAAAGCCTGCGCACAAGGATGAGAAAGGCAGAGGAATGGCAGCAGTCGTAAGGATGACTACTCCAGGGGTAAAGACAAACGTTACCTTTCCCTTAAAGCCTTAAATCTGTTCCTATCCTCAGACCTAGTAATTGAGCATATAGAAGTCTCTCTTAAGGAACTAAAAATGGGGACAATTATTTATGTGCAAGGATGCTTTTTGCTGTGGAGAGGGAAGTTGGCACCATATCATATTCTTAATAATAGAGAAATAGTTACATTGCATTTCACTGGGAAGCCATCAAAGTCAAGTTTCAAAGACTTAATGGTGGCAGGAAAATGTTTATGATCTAGACAAATGAAATAGGATACAGAATTATTATTGGTACTGGGAGTTGAACCCAAGGTGGCTTAAACATTGAGCCCTTCTTATGTTTTATTTTGAGACGGTGTCTTGCTAAGTTGCTTAGGCCCTTTGCTATATTGCTGAGCCTGGCTTTCAACTTTCAATCCTCCTGTCTCATTCTCCAGGGTCACTGGGATTACAGGTGTGCACCATTGTGCCCAGCTAGGACAGAAAATTATGCATATGTGCAGGTATAATCATACAATATGATGTATCATTTTTGATGATTGAAAATTACTGCAAAGTTGGTAGTTTTTTTTTTTCTCTTTTAAATGAGACAGGTCTCATTGTGTTGCCCAGGTTGGCTTTGAACCCCTAGGTTTGAGCGATCCTCCTGCCTCAGCCTCTGAGTAGCTGGGACTCCAGGGACATGCCATTGTTCTGGCTTAACATTGGTGACTTTAAAAATAACACAGATCTACTCCCTTGGAGTTGGGAGGCCTGAAGGTCAAGATCAGTTTCACTGGGTTAAGGTCAAGGTGATGGCAGGGCCAGCTCCTGGTGGAGGTTCCAGGGCAGAGCTGGCCTTGCTTCTTCCAGCTTCTGGTGGCTGCCAGCCTCCTGTGTCTGTGGATGCATCGTTCCAGTCTCTGCTTCCCTATCCCATCACCACTTCCTGGGTCAAATCTCTCTGCCTCCTCATGAAGATACTTGCTGCTATTGGGCCCACAGGGTTATCCAGGAAGATCCCCCTTTCCAAGTTCTTCATTTAACTGCAATTTGCAAAGACCATGTGCTGCGTAAGTTGACAGTCATGGTTTCCAGAGGTTAGGATGTGGATATCTTTGGGGGTCGTAATTCTACTTGCCACAGGTGTTGATTTTGTGCAACTAGTGAAGTGTGTGTGAGGGGAGGCCTGGAAGGAGATTCCTGAGGATGTCACTGAACCTCTGGGTGGTGTGTCTGGGGTCATTTTTATTTTGGACATACTCTATTCTCCACCCCCTCTGTGCTGAGGAAGTGACTTTCACAATCTAAAAAAGTTGCTGGGGACTGCTGCTCTGAATGTTGTGAGCATCTCAGGCCGAGTGACGTGTTGTCGCCTCTCTGCAGAGCCCGTGTTCTGGCACTACGTGAAGGAGGTCCTCAACAGGCACGAGCTGCAGCGCTTCCACTCCCTGCGCCACATCACCTCCGACGTGGGCCGCGGCCGCGCCTGGTTGCGCTGCGCCCTCAACGAGCACTCGCTGGAGCGCTACCTGCACATGTTGCTCGCAGACCAGGGAAGGCTCAGGTACTAGCCCTCAGGCTGTGGGGCAGGTGGGGCAAAGGGGAAGAGGGTGGAATCGGGAGTCAGACTTCATGGACTTGCATCCCAGTCCCTCTACAGGGGCCCTCGTCTGTTCAGCTGTGCTGTGGGGACCCTCTGTGTGAGAAGGCCTTTAGAAGACTCTGCATGGCACCTGTGTATTGCTGCCACTCAGACCATGCTTATTATCAGCTCGCCTCCGGGTGTGCAGGGAACGGCTACAGTCTTTCATTTTGTGGAATTTTAATTTGGGTATTCTTTCATTCACTTGATCCCAAATTGACCTGAAAATATAGGTAGGTTTTAAGTTGGGAGGAAGTCTTTTTTTTTTTTTTTAATTAAAAACTGATTTTATTATGTTCCTTTTTTGGATCATAAATATAAAATATAAAATTCACTCTCAGTATAGGTCAGGTTATGCTGCAATAACAAATACCTCAGTGGCATGAGACAACCAAGCTTATTTCTTCCATGTGCTACATGTCTGTCAGGGGTGTGCTTGGCTTCTCATCTTGGGGACCCAGGCTGATAGGAGGCTCCATCTGTTTGCTTCATCTGTTTGCTTCAGTTATGTGCAGCCAAGGTAGGAAAAGGAGCTGTGGTTGGAGTAAACACTGGCTTGTATGGCCACTGCCCACGATACCTTACGCTCATGGCCGGCAGAGGTGATGTGAGTGTTGCCAAGTAGGAGCCAGTGTGGCACAGTCGGCCACATTCCCTAAGCACTGGAAAATGTTGTAGAATCCCTGAAAAATGGAATCACTTAGAATTTACACAAAGAAAACTCTCACCTGTTGGAATTTTTTCCCATCATTTTTCTATACTTGTGACACTCATGGTTTCTCTTGCTCTGGCTGTTTTTTTTTTTTTTTTCCCCCGAGAATGGGGGATCAGACACTTTGTCACCTGATACAAAGGGGCAGTGATAAATCCTGCCCTGCTTCCTTCAGGAACTTCCACATCAGCATGTGTAGAGCCTGAACATGGAGATTTCATTTGACTCAGTAACCGTTTCATCAGCATCACGTTGTGGTCCTTTGATTTCGCATCTTGCCAAAGTGTTCCCTGGCTCAGGTCTCCCCTCTGGCTGCTGCTATGGTTGCCTCTCCACCAGTGATTTTTTTTTTTTTTTTTTTGGGGGGGGGTGTTCTGGGTTGTGCCTTAGGGCTCGTAAAATACTCCTCAATTTCTTGCATTGACACTGCCTGTGACACTTCACCATCTGACTCTGAAGTGGGAGGCTTGGGAACCAGGCAGCTGATGGTGAGGGCATGTGTGTGTTGCTCGGGGGGCAGAGTTGGGGGCTGAGAATACACCTCCCAAGCCTGACCTGCTTTAATTAAGGTTTGTTAACATAGATTTTTGTGAAGCTCTTTCCTGTGGATTACTGATGATGAGTTCAGAGTTGCATACTCAGTACCAAAGTCAAATTGAGCTGTGGGAAGCTGCAGCGAATCCCTAAGAGTCACAGTGGAATTTATTAGGGTTTGCCACTCACTTAATGCAGGTGGGGAAACCTAGTTCATTTACATGCACAGAAATGGCTCCCATTTCCAGAAGAGCACAGTTTGGAGAATCGGGCAGAGTAGAAATGCCAGCTTGACCTTGTGGTTTGTACTTCCACTAACATTTTGCTGGGTAAGTATGTTGGAAATGATGTCTCTCCTCTCTTCCCGCTCATTGTATTCAGTTGTGTCAGCAAATAGTTTTTCCAGTCTGTCACTGAACTTCGAGCCACTCAAGATTGGCTTGATTTGAGTAAAATTGAGCATTGAGCTTTGACTCCCTTACTTTAGAATCCTATGATGTGGTAGGGGGTGTCATGGTATTGTGGGTATTTGGTTGTGTGTTGTAAGCCTGGCTGTAGGGGGTGTCATGGTATTGTGGGTATTTGGTTGTGTGTTGTAAGCCTGGCAGATTGCCTTAGAAAGATCCTGAAGCCTTCCTGACCTCCCACCCCAACTGCTACTTAGATTCACGAGGCCCTCCTAGCCTTCTGACCTTTCCAGGGATAACTTGTACTTTGGGAACTGTAGTCCAGGCAGGTATTCTAAGTGAATGCTGTGATGGAGGAGCCATGGCATTTTGTAACTTCTCTCTGAAGTTGTCACCTCTGTGTTAGTGATAGCAGGCAAGCCCTGTTGGTCAGCTTGGATTTCCTGTCTGTCTCTTGGGAGCTCTGCTTGAGTGGAAGTCACCCCTCTGTGCTCTTGTTCTTTGTTGCCTTATAAATATATTTACATGTGTTTGTTTCAGTACTCTAAAGCCTGAGGTCTCGGGGGACCGACAGAGAAGTTGTAGACTATGTACATTCAGATCTTTGCTTATAGTAGGAAGCTTCACCCAGCAGAGATCTCAGATACCCTCCCTTCCCCGTGATGACCGACCAGGAACAGATTGTCCAGAATGTCATCTAATGGAGTGATCTAACCAGTGAATGCAGAGAACTACTCTTAAGAAGTTTTTCCTTTTCTCATTTCACTTTACAGCACTTTTTATGAAGACTGGTCTTTTGTGATGGATGAAGAAAGGTCTAGCATGCTTCCCACCATGGCAGCTGGTAAGCCTGACCATGGCCGGGGGTGATGGGTCCTGGGGACCTCGGCGAGTAGAGAGGGCTGCCTGGGGGTGGATTCACAACCCCAGGGGATGCTGTGAATTTTCCTGTCCCTCACTGATGGAGTCACTTGTTGCTGATCTTCCTTTAATGGCATTGAGCGTTGGGCACAATTATCTGGAAATTTGATACCTGGAAGAGAAAGCCTGGGCTGAAGGGTTGCTCATGGCTTGGCTGGTGTGATGTGAGGAGCCTGTTCTTTGCTGGCTGGATCCTGTCAGCTTTGTCCCTTTTACTTCTCCATGACGTGGGAATTCTGACAGCTCCCAGTTGCCATTGTAGAGCCGTGAGAGAATCGCAGGCGATACAGGGTCATGTATGTGGTTTGTCATTAGGGAGGCCCTGGGTTGATGTCACCTGATGGATTGCCAAGGTGTTCACTTTTCCTCTCACTCAAAGGGTGAAAGATGGAATCTTCCATATAAAAGTGGGCAGCTGTGTCTTTCTTCCAGTTGCCCATTTCTTCCCTTTTATTCCCCTAAAGGTTTCCACTAAGCTTTGCACACTGAGGGCTGTGTTAGTTTTGTCTGAGGAAGAGTTGGGTTTGAACTCGATTCCCTTTGCAGGCCTTAGGAGACCAGTGCACATTTTGATCTAGGGTAATCACAGTGACGCTCTTGCTGCAAATCTTGATTGCTTATTGAGCTGAGGTTGTTTTGATGTGATTATCTTTAATATTTATGACCATGTGAGGGAGATGATATTGCCCCCATCATATAAGTAAGGAAACTGAAGCCCCAGGGAGTAAAAGGTGCTTGGCCAAGGTCTCAGAGCTCGTAAGTAGCCGTGCTGGCAGTCTGCTCCAGCCCTTACACTCTCACCTACTCCTGGGTGACTCTTGTTTGCATTTGTCTTCTCAACCTTTGGGGAGGAAATCTGGAAAGTCTTACTCCCCTGGTAACTGGTGTCTGTTGACCCAGCTTTGCAGAAAGTTTTATAAATGTTTGAAATCGGTGTATAGTAATCCTGTGTGTACTGCGCTGTCACTCCTGTTTCTCATGTTGGAGGTGACTGCATGCTCCCAGGCGCTCCAGGCTTTCCTTTTTTTGGCCAGGGCTGAACTCCATACTCTTCGCAATTAACATCGACAACAAAGACTTAAATGGGCAGAGTAAGTTTGCTCCCACCGTCTCCGACCTCTTAAAGGAATCAACGCAGAACGTGACCTCCTTGCTGAAGGAATCCACTCAGGGAATGAGCAGCCTCCTCAGGGAGATCACAGCCTCCTCTGCTGTCTCCATCCTCATTAAGCCCGAGCAGGAGACCGACCCGTTGCCTGTTGTGTCCAAGAACGTCAGTGCTGGTGAGCAAGAATGGGCATTTGAGGTGGTGCACAGGGGTCCTTGTAAGGACAAGAGAATGTCTGCTGTGGACACCTTTTGTCACCTGAAGGTCATTCCCAGGGGAATGAAATCTAGGGCGCTTGCACTCTCAGGTCATGTTTATTTTTCTTACCTTCATTTACTCTGAAGGGGATCTGACAGGCTCACCTAGAGAAGACAGGGGAGAAGAGCAAATGTGGTGGGGCAGCCACAGGAGCCACATGGGCTTGGTCTTCAGTCGTCCACTCAAGCACTCACTGTGTTCTGTGTGTTAGGCAGCGAGCTTAAGATGGCTTGCCCACGATGAGCTTGCAGTCCCTTTGGGATGCACGAGGATATGTTTAAAGACTATATTCCTTTGGTACATGTGATGAAGGCCAATCACAGATGCTCTGGAGAATGAATACCACTTGTCTCACCTATGTTGTGAGGACGTTTAAGCAGAAGCCTGGGGGAAGAGAGGATTTGGTCAGCTTTAACACCAGGTGGGGGCAGGCAAAAGGAAGTTGATTTTTCAACAAGTTAATAATAGCTGGGCACGGTGGTGCACGCCTGTAATCCCCGTGAATTGGGAGGCTGAGGCAGGAGGGTCACGAGTTCGAAACCAGCATCAGCAACTTGGTGAGGCCCTGGACAACTTAGCAAGACCCTGTCTCAATAAAAAATAAAAAGGGCTGGGGATGTGGCTCAGTGATAAAATGCCTCTGGGCTCATTCTCTGGTACTACCCCCCCACCCCCCAAAAAAAAATTTATCCCGGAAGCAATGGATATTGCTATGGGAGAACTGGAAAATTTTGGCTTAAGTTCTAGTCCCTGTGTCCCCAAATCCCTAAGGCAGTAAATGTGGCCATCTTTGAAAATTATCAATGATGGTGAAAACTCAGAATACCACCGGCTCTTCGGCACAGACTTGACTGTCTTGCCTTCAGCAGACGCCTCATGTGCAGATGTAGAAAACAGGACGTTGAGAGCTTTGTGTAACAAAGACACACATTTGTACACCCAGAGGAGCTTTGGAAATTCTCAGAGCTGTGCTAGGCTGGTGAAGCATCACAAGGCCATACTTTGAGCCACTGCCTACAACTCCAAAGTGTCTCACATCCAAGTTGGATGATTGACGGGTGAACAAATGGACTCATCTTAACTCTGACCCCTCAGGCAGTCTTGCTCGCTGCTCCAGTTAGCCCAAATGACAAAAGGTGGTGGCTTAAATCCACCACGACTCGTTTTTTGACGACTCTGGATGGGCATGGCAGGGCTTCAGCTGGCTTCCCTCAGCTTGCTCATGGCATATCACTGGTGGCTGAGTTGGAAGGCCCAGGGTGGCCCACCTGTGTGCCTGACTGCTGGCTGCTCTGGGTGCCATCGGGGCAGCAGTCCGGGGTGGGGGGGGGTGAAACAGAAGCAATGAGACCTCTTGTCACCTGGGCCCTAGAATGGGATGTTATTTCTGTCACATTCCAGTGGTACCATCAGAGCACTGTGCCTGCTTAGACTCAAGGATTTATAGATGGCACACGGCCAGCAGCATCGTGCGGGGAGGGGCGGGGGTTGTAGCTGTGAAACAACTGGCTGCGACCCCCATGCTGGTTTTCCTGGTCTGGCCTACCACTTTTGGGCGTATTTCCCACAGTGAAACAATGGAAATCATTTCCGTAGTGGCAGCATCCTTGGAATCCAAGTGACACTAGAAGGGACAGTGTCCACCTATGATCTGAAGTGTGTTGACGTACAGGCCTGGGTCCATCTTGCTCAGTCTTCTATAGATGGGTATTTCTCAAGGATTTAAATAAATGAACATGGTGCAGTTAGCTTCTCAGTAGCCTGAGGGGATCTTTTGGGGCCCCGGGGGCGAGCTGGCCTGTCACCCTTCTGTCTTGCCCACTTTTTCTTGCTGTATTTTTCTTTGCCAGATGCCAGATGTAAAAAGGAACGGAAGAAGAAAAAGAAGGTGACCAACATCATCTCGTTTGATGAGGAGGAGGATGAGCAGACCTCTGGGGATTTTTTTAAAAAGCTTCCTGGGACAGGGGAGAGCTCGGAGGAGAACTCCGACCGGTCCTCGGTCAACATCATGTCGGCCTTTGAAAGCCCCTTTGGGCCGAATTCCAATGGCAGCCAGAGCAGCAGCTCCTGGAAAGTGGACTCCCTTTCTCTAAATGGGGAGCTTGGGTACCAGAAGCTCGATGTGAAGAGCATCGACGACGAAGGTGTGGATGACAATGAGGACGACGCGTATGGGGACCCATCAGGAAGGAAGCGTGCGGGCCACCTGGGATCACCAGAGAAGTAAGTGCCACTTGAGCTTCTGACAAAGGGACGTGTATTGCCCATTTCTCCTTCTCCCGCAGTGGAGGAAATCGGTCCATTTTCTATCTGTTAGGGCATTAGTCATTTTTCAGTCTTTATTTAGGAGGTGGTGATGTCAGCTTGCCATTCTCCTGAGAACTAAGAGGGGAAGGGAGTATATTTGAAGGCACTTAATACAAAATTAATGCCAGGAAGTGTGCCCTGAAGTTCTTGGTTTGCACAGAGGACTTTGGTTTTCATGAATTGGGTTTTTTTCATCTCTCACTTGTCAATCATAGAAGCCCTGGAGGAGGCAGGCTAGTCTAGAGAGCAGCTGTGTTCCTGTTTGTCTGCAGGGGTGTGAACAGCAGCAGCTTGCTTGTGTGGCTGCTGGAAGTCTCAACTCTGTAGAGGGTCGTGGGAGGGGAAGGGGTTAAGGCCTAAAGCAGAAAGCACAGTTGATGAGTGTGCATATTGGAGTCAGGACCACCTGGGATCTTGTACTTGGGCGAGTTTGAATTTCCACACACCCCAGAGCCTCTGGCCTCATCTGAGACCTGGAAGATGGCAGCACCTGTTGGTGGCAGGGCGTTGTGCAGTCAGCGATGTACTGCATGTGGGCCTTTGTTGCTGGTGCTGGCACAGCAAGTGACATAGCACAGGTCAGCTGCTGCCGCTGTTCTACTCTAATAGTTCTTACATTGTCTCCTCTTCACCCAGAACAGTGCCAAAGGAATCACAGAAGGCTTCATAATCTAGGCAATTAAATACGCATAAATGTGTCTTTCTGTATAACTGAGGTATCCTGGTGTTAGGGTGCACAGTATGACAGCAGCTCAGGGCTAGAGCCTTACTGTCTTTTTTTTTTTTCCTTGTGGTTCTGGGGCTCAAGTCCAGGCCCTTGCAGATGCTAGGCAAGTGCTGTAACACTGGACTACATGCCAAGTCCTTTTAATTTTATTTTGAGACGAGGTTTTCTTACATTGGGCAGGATGGCATTGAACTTGCAGTCCTGTAGCTTCGGCCTTCCGAGGAGCTTGGGTTACAGGTTTGTGCCAATGCACCTGGTTTCATGTTTTAATATTAGGTTCTTTTTCAAGAGACTAAACTTTATTTTTGCTTCAATCCTCATTTACACAGATGCTACTGTTGGTGGTGTTAGCTTGTTGATCATCCGTGAAGTGCTGGATGACGTACCTTAGTGATAAAGCAACCCTGTGAGATCGGTGGCCATCATACCTGCTCTGTAAGTGAAAGAGCAGGATTCCATGGAGTGGAGATTTGTCAGATGGGATTTGGGTTCGGATATGTTGTATCCTAAAGTTATACTATCAAATATTCTCCATGGTTTTATATAATCATGAGTCTCGATTGGCCAGTGTGGTGGTTGACCATGATGGCCTACCTGACTGGGCTGTGGAATACTCAAACAACATTTCTGTGATGACATTTCCAGATGAGATGAGTAGCATTTGAATGGGTCAGCTCAGTAAAGCAGATGGAACTCCCCGGAGTGGGTGGGCATCTTGCAATCCTTTGGGGACCCGACTAGAACAAACTAAGGGAGAGGAGGAACTGTGTCTTCTCTGCCCGCCAGCTTAAGCTGGGACATTGGCCTCCGTATTCTCGGGCTTCAGACCTGAACTGAATGACATCACTAGCATTTCTAGGTCTCCATTTTGTAGACTGTGGGGCTCTGGACCTTCGTAATCAGTGAACCAGCTCCTCAGTCGAAGTCTCCGTCTTTGCCTATTCCCTCCATTTCCCCCACTTTGGTTCCTTCTCTGCAGAACCCTGATCAACTCGACTGTGGTCCTTCAGATCCCTGCCCTGCCCTGCTAAAGAGTTCCCTTTACTGTTGTGTAATTGGGCTGCTGGCATTGATTTTTTTTTTTTTTTTGTTGTTGGCCAGTTTGAAGTGGAGATTTTCATTTCTGCTCTGAAATTATTTGTTAGGATAGCTGTTTGGAAGCACTGCTCTTGCTCCTAGGCTATGGATGGTTTTTGTGCCTGGAAGCTGTCTTGTGACCCGATGTATTATTCAGGCTTCTCCAGAGAAGCACAACTAGTAGGGTGGTGTTTCCTCCTTTTGATCCCGCTCTGTTTCCTATCTATCTGACTCTGTATTGCTGTCGCTCCCTTTCTTGATTTATTTTAAGAAATTAACCTATATTACAGAGGCTGGCCAGTGTGAAGTTGGTAGGTGGCTGACCACTCGGTGAAGAGCTGCGTTCAACCTTGAAGGCAGTCTGTTAGCAGCTCTCCTTCTTCCTCTGGAAAGTCGGTCTCACTGGTTGGGTGAGGTTCCCCAGTTAGGCAGGACAATCTGCTTGGTCTTTTGACTTAAATACGACTCTCTCTTGAAAAATACCCTCATGGAGACATCTGGAATACTGTTTGATTAAGTATCTGGGTGATGTGGCCTGGTCAAGTGGACACATACAAGAACTCTTACAGCTACATGAGTTCTCCTGGGCCATTTAGGAAGTGCCACTGGATTCTGTGGCTCTGTAGGTGGGTGCACCTGAATTGATCCACTCTGTGCTCTTTTGGCTGCAATGAGCCATTCCTCTTCCTATCCTGCAGGTGCCATTGAGTGGAGGCTGGAAGGGGAGGCCAGCTCCAGGCCAAGGTGGCTGCTGGCATTGTGATGTGTAAAGCACAAAGCTGTGCTGGTGACCTCCAAGGGGGCCTGGGTCCTCCAAAGCCAGTGGGCCTCCCGCAGACTGTGGACAGCTTCTCCTGGTACACAGGGGGATCTCGATTGAACACTCCATAGAGCAGCCTGGGGAAGAGCCGAGGAATGATGAGATGGCCTGCCAAGTAATACTTTGATTTTGATTTTAAACTAAGGCTCATAGGAAAGGCCCACGAGGCTGGAACACAGCAGGTGTGTGAGGGGGCTGTGGCAGGCCAGGAGCAGCTCGGTGGGTGCCACCACCCTTGGTTGTCTTGAGGAGGTCTGTTGTCCAGAGCTGGGTGGACTCCTGTGACAGCTAGTCATAAGCCACTGCTTGATGACCAGTGTTCTCCCCCTGCCTCAGTACTGGCCACAGGTATTGGCTTTGTGTTTTTCATCAAAAGGGATAATATCCTTATCATACAAAGGAGTTTTTCTGTCACCTTATGTGCTCTGACATCATTAAATAGGTAAGAACATGATTCCAAAGGAATTAAACATGAATAAATGTTGCACCTTATTAGCAATGAAGTAAATGCGAAGGGAAACGAGGGTCCCATGTCTTGCCCATCACATTTGCCAAGATTTGAAAGGGAGCCCCAGTATTGTGGCCTGTATGGGGGGGAGGCAATCTCTCAGTGCACCTCTTCCCAGGTGCAAAGGGGGTGTTCAGTCCACATTGGTGCAGTGATGATGGCACAGCTGGTACCAGGGGCTGTCGACAGTCCTGAGGAGATGGTTGGGCCATGTCAGGAGCTGTGTTGGACCTACTTGATTTGGCAGTGATGGAATCTGCCTGGGGATGCACCAGGTGGATTCAAAGTCCCGACTTGGAAGCAAAACGCCATAGCTGACCTAAATGTGCAGCCACTGAGGCGGTTACCAGCTGGGCGTGCAGGAGTTGGGTGTTAATATAGTCATGTCTGGGATCTTGAACATTTTGAGTGAGTTTGATTATCTGGTAGTAAAAAGATGAGCTCATCTTCTTACTATCAGATGGAAACATAAGACAGAAAATTCTCCATGTGGTTTTGTTACAGCCATGTGAATGTAAGTCGCATGGAGACGGTGTCCAGCCCAGTTGTATTTTGGGTACTTCTGAAAGTATCTTTTCCAAGGAAAAGAACACCCACTGTTGAGCCAATCTTGAAGCCACGTCCTGAGGCTTTCCCCGACTTGGGAATCACTTTAACTCATTTTGCTCATATTGAAGTGGTGGCCCTTGGGGCTGCTTTTCCTTGGGTTCAGATTCTCGTCTGGAGGGTTCTGGCTTTACCTCGTGCACACACACGTTGCCGGAAGTGGTAAGAACTGTGTTGGAAACGAGCAGAATACCCCCGGTACAGAGCTGGTGGATTGCTTGATAACGGACTGTGGCCTTTGCTGCCCTCTGCTGAGAAGGGTGCACTGGCACTGCCACAGCTGTCCATCCCCTGGGCCACCGGCTTCTAGACCAGAGCCTCAGAAGCGTGGCTCTGACAGGTGAACTTGGTTGTGCCTCTAGAATCTGAGTCTTGGTCAGAGTCGGGGTCAGCTGCCAGGACATGGGCAGGAGTAGCCCTTCCTTTGCCTCCCCCTGCCTGAGTGTCATCGCCTTACCCGTGGGATTCAGTGACAAGTTTTGCGAAATTGTTAGAAATAGTTCCTCAGTTTTCTCCTCAGTGTCTGAACGTCTGACCTGACCAGAAGCTAGAGCAGCCGGAAGGAGACGGTGTCTGACCAGCCTGTAGGAGGGGCCGGCCAGCCCGCCTGCCCTAGCCAGGGACAGTTATGAAGAAATACCAACACAGACAAGTAGGCCATGGAACCTGAAATATTCACTAGCTGGTCCTAAACTTAGTCAATCTCTTCTCTAAAATAAAAACTCTGTAATGTCACGTGGTGGACAGAGGCTGGAGCGCCATTGTAATTGGATTTGGAAAACCCAAAGCCTTGGTTCTGTCATATGTGGCTGTTGACCTTGGACAAAAAAAAAAAGTCAAATAGTTGGAGTTTTCTTTTTCTTTTCTCTCCCACACCCGTCCCTTCTTTTACTAAGTAGGTATGGTTATCAACTTTGGTCTTCTTTATTTACTGAGATACAAAAGAATTTTATAAACATCTAGGAACTGCGTGAACACATCCTGGTATTTACTAATGTTCCTGATTGTCCAGAGGCAAAGCTGCAGTGGGCGAATGCTCAGGCAGCTTGGAGTCCTCCTGGTGTTACGAAGGCTGTGTGTGTTGGTTTTGAACTTGGCAGATAATAGAATAACATCATATGAGCCTGGTTAATACTTTAGCTGACCTCCTTTTATTGAAAACCCAGTCACAAGTGGGTCTGATTGTCCTTTGACCCATGGGGTCTGAGAACCAGCGAGGCAAAGCGACATTAGCCCAGAGTTGTGTAACCACCGTTGTTTGAGAACCCAGATGGTGGCATTTTCTCTTGCTCAGCACTTTGTGTGGCTGGTGCCTCCCCTTCCACGTGTCCTGTCCCTCTCCTTCCCTCAGGTCCTTGCTTCCTTCAACTTGCTCCTCACAACTCCCCCTTCAGGCCAGTCTTCCATGATCTTCCTGATCAGCGACATGATTCTGAACTGCTGTTTGACATCTTCCCAAAGGATATGTGACTGATGTCCTTGCACCTGTCAGGGTCTGGATCCCCACTTGATGTTCCAGACTCCTGCCCATCAGCCCCATCCTGGCCTGGGTGTTTCCCAAGAGCCCTTGAGGAGGCTTAGCAGATGTGCCTGGTGGTCACAGGCCCTTTGGGAGTCTGGGCCTTGTCATGCAGCTGTCTTCTTTCACCTTAGGCCCCTGGATGGGAACACCTGCCTCTCCCAGGTGCACAGCTGGGCTCCGCTGCAGGTGCTCCACGGCGATGCTGATGTCCTCTTCCCGGTCAGCGGTGTGGGCTCCTACAGCCCGGCAGGTAGGTGCTTCCTCTTTTTTTTTTTTCTTCCCAATGAGAGCATCAGTTCTGAGAACCAGCATGAGAATCTGAGTTACCTGCACAGGTAGGAATGGGAACCTGGGGCCCAGAGCAAGGAGGGGCTTGTGGGGGACTCAGAAGCTACAGGGCCTTAGTGTTCTAGAAATTTGAGCATCTGAGTGAGTTGGGCTGACCTGGCTGGCAATCCCCCAGGAGCCCCCAGGTCTGTTTTACTTTTTTCCCCAACACCAGTGGCTTATTGAACTTGCTCATGTCAAAGTAAACATAAAGAGTGATTGCCATTTTGCCTTTTAAGACCTCGGTTTCCTTCTGAATCTGGCAAGAGGCAGTTCGGTGGTAGAGGGGGCTATCTGTCAAGTCACTGGTGCCCTGGACAGAAAGCTTTTGGGGCTCTGGGGCGGGTTGCTTGAACTGGCCTTTGACTATGGGCCAGTGTCCTTGCACATTCCATGTGGTGGGCGGGCTCACGTGTAGTCTTACTGTTTCCTGTAGCTGAACAGGCCATGGGACTCTGGGGGTTATGTGTGGGTGAACCTGGCTCTCCCAGCAGGACAGGTGCGCCATGCAGTGCACAGAACCTGTAGAGAGAAGTGCCTGGTCATTGTCACTCTCCTCCCCCAGCACTGCGAGCTCAGAGAGGCCTTAGCCCGACAGACAGGTGCTCTGCCATTTTCTAGGGAACACACGCTTCTCTGGGCCTAGTGTTAGGGAGCTGTGACTGGAGTCTTCCAACTGCTTAGGAAGCTGTTGAAATTTGAACTGGGTGAAGGATTATTCTTGTCACTTGGTGAAGGACAGAAATCTACCTACACTAGCTGAAGGCCAGACAGATGGGCTCCGCAGGCAGCAGAGTGGACTTCCCGTCTGTCAGTCTGGGTGACCTGCCTGGAAAGTGGATGCCGGTAGTGATAACAGTGCCTGCCAGGCTCTAGCAGTGAGTCCAGTGCTGGGGAGAGGTTGTCCTGCTCAGCTGGGGGGTTCACTGCACCATTCCCTCCCTCAGATGTGTGGTGAAGACTCCCAGGTTCACCTGGGGAAAGACAGGCTGAGGAGGCAGTGCTAAGACGTGGCAGCTGAGTGTGTCCACAGCTGGGAGCAGGGCTGATGGAGGGGACTCTAGATGGGGGGAGGCACAACCGTTGTGGTCATCCTGCTTCCTGTGCTGCCCCCACCCCGGTCTGTCATTGCCCTCTTCATTCTCACTCCTCCCCTTTCTACTTGAACTTGGCTGAGGTGCCAACAACATTGCTCAGCCTTGTGACCTTTGATACCAGTGGGGACATCTCGCCGGGTCTCAGCTGAAATCCCAGAGAGGGCCGGTGTGGTGGGCCTGGCTCGTGTCCGCAGGCCAGACCCCAGAAACCCTGCCTCTTCAGCTCCCCTGTCCAGGTGGCTGAGGGGGTCGCCTTGTCATTGCTGGACTATGTGAGACAGGGGTGGGGGCTTGGAAGCTCGAGGGGGGCCCAAGGGTATCCAGGGCCATGGGAGAGTTCTGATGTTTGCACATAGCCTCCGACATGGAGCTCCTCAGCCTCTGATCCCCGCTCAGTCCTCGTTACCTGCTGTTAAATGCTGGCTGGCTGTGGGCACCCGGGGCAGCAGGCTCTGCCCCTCGAGCCTGTGAGACAGGGAAGCTGATGGCTGGTGCTTTGGGGCCTTGCAGTTTGGCATTAGGGAGCTGTGACTGGAGTCTTCCCCTAATTTGGGATCTGATCTTCCAAAGCCCAGCATTCTAGGCTTTCCATGGATAAGGGCCTCCAGGATCCTCAAGAGAAGGTCCCCATTGCCCCCCAGCACATCTCCTGTGGTCTCGTGGCTGTCAGCCTGGCAGACCCAGAGGCTCCACTTGTTACTCTTGAGGGGACCCCAAGTTCCAGCTTACCTTGATGGTACTCACCAGAGGTGACTTGTAGGAGCCAGTATACCAGTGTTTAAAGGTGCTGCAGTCACAAAACCATAGGAGCCTTGTAGGCCGTGACAGCCTGTGGGCAGGGGAGCATTGTAGGGAAGACCCATGGTGGCTGAAGGTGCTGGATCAGGGCTGGGGACTGGTTACCTGCTGCTAAGTTGCGTCAGTCCCTCTGCCTAGTGTCTGTGTCCATGGGAGGCACCTGGGCCAGGTGGTCTCAGGCTTGGCCTGCCAGGGAAGGCTCTGCTAACATTTTTCTGAGACTCCACTTTTGCCCCATGTCTGACTAGTGTCCCTCAGGTTGATAGTGACATTAATACATTCTTCCTAATTCTGGCTGAGGGGCCATTCTGCCCTTTACTATGACTTCCCACGCGGACAGCTTCTTGCCTCAAGGGATTTTTCAGTCCTCTTTGAAAATGTTGCCGCCTTTGTAGTCACTACATTGGGAGTAATTAGAGAAAGGGGGAGTGGGGGGGGGGACAAAAAGGAAGCTGGGCCTGGCCGGGAGCCGGTGTTTTTAAGGGAGGAGGGAACATGCTATGAGTACCCTTGTGAATCTTGCAGGAGGCAGCTCTGCGGTGGAGGGGACTACCTGTCCTGGGTTAGGGGCAATTCAGAGAGGGGAGACCAGCCCAGGGTCTCATCATGGGACCTTGAGCAGGTGGAGGGCTGGGCATGCCTGTGACCTAAAATGGGGCAAGGTGAGTTTACCTGTAAGTCACGGGAAGTCTGACTCCAGCAGACCAGGCTAAGCAGACGTGATGGTGCAGAGGAGGCTGTGTTGCTCTTTTGGTCCCTTTCGGGTGCAGGGCTAGTTTCATGATGGGCGTTGACAACGAGGAGTTGCTCTAATGAGCAAGGGTTCCCTTGGGTGATATGGATCTTAATGTCACCATCCAGCCTGGGGCTTGTGGGTTTTTACCCTTTCCTGCAAAGAGGCTTGTGCGGGCACTCATGCATTTATGAAAATCGGTAACATGAGATATTTATCATCTCACTCCTTTGGGAATGTGCTTCTGAATGCTATGTACGCAGGGTTAAGTGGCTTTTGGAGAAAGCCAGGTTGTTGGTGATTAGACTTTGCTGCCCTCTGCTGTCTGTCTCAAGTCCTGACAGGCAGGAGAAGGTTTGTCCTATAGAAAGCTTTTTTTAAAAAATTACTCTGATTCTGGGGTTGGCCCTGAATACAGACTTCATGGGCAATTCCACTTGCCTTAAGATCAAAAGTCACAGGTTAAGTGGGAGATAGGGTCTTCCATCAGCAGCTGATGCCAAGTTATAAAAATGCCTGGGAAAATGGAGTGGTAGCAGATTAAGATCCAATGTGTGGGTGAGTAAGAACTTGTAAGTCAGCTTATGTAGCAGATGAAGGAATGACAAGAAGAGGGAATTGGAATAAACACCTTATCTCCTCTCTGTGATGTCTTTACCCAGATCCCCCCCTGGGAAGCCTGGAGAACGGAACAGGACCTGAGGACCACATTCCCCCAGAGCCTGGGCTTCGGTACAGGTTAATATTAAGAAACTAGGTTGCCTTGTGTATTAATGTATTATTCGCAATTTGGCATTTTATTCTTTTTTATAGTACCAGGGGCTGAATCCAGGGGCGCTCTACCTCTGGGCTATATCCCTGTTCTTATTATATTTGAGATGGGGTCTTGTCAAGTTGCTGAGGCTGGCCTCGAACTTGGGATCAACCTGCCTCAGCCTCCCTAGTGGCTGGGATCACAGGCATGTGCCACTGTGCCTGGCTGGCATTTTATTCTTTTTTAAAGCTAGGAGGAACCTGCTAGGGTTATATGCAAGGTCTTACTTCACACTTCTGCTCAGGGGTAGTCTTACATCTCACAGTGTGCCCTTGCCAAGAGGCTCAGATCATCTGTCCCCACGGAGTTACTGCAGGAGACTGCACAGTGGTCAAACTTTATTTGCATACCTCCTGTCCTTATGCTTTTTGAGCTATATCTGAGTACTTCCTGTCTTTTTCTTAAAGTACTTCCTATCATTTTCTTAATCTAAATACTAATACTTGGTAATATTTAACAGTCCTAGTATTATATTTAAGTCCCTTTGATGCCATGTAATATTTAAGTACATCACCTACAGAGCAAAAGGGTTTTTTTATTTTTTATTTTTTCCCTCTCAAATTGAAGAATCTCAAGGGAGAACTGAGTTGCCAGGTCATTGGCTGTTTAGTGACAGTAGAGGTAGACGGCAAGGTTTCCCAATGCGCCCACTGTCCTTGCTGCTCTTACTTTCACTACTTTTTTTTCCTGTGATTTTAGTTTGATATCTCAGGGACGTATCCACGTGCATTTCCAACCCTGTCTTCAGGGTGGGCTTCTTGTCTGCTGCCCCCAAACCAGACATGGTGCCCCTGTCAAACCCAGAATAGGCGGGATTCCAAAAGTGACACTACCTGGAGCAGGCTAGTACATGGGGTGCCAGGTAAAAGGATGGCGTCACAGACCCTTCCAGGGCTCAGTTCTTTATCCTGTTTATTTTTAGAAAATTTGCAGAATGCTCCAATGAATGAAAAATGACTCTTTAACCCAACTCCATGGTGTGGTCGATGCTTTGATGCTTTCCCTCTGAGTGTGTGCGCGTGTGTGAGCATGTGTGTGCAGGTGTGTGTATAAGCACTACATGTGGCCCTGCTATTTTCACAAAAGGTGGTCAAATTATTTTTTCACATTGCAAAATCATTACAAAGAGCTGGCCCTCATTATTTGCAGGGATTCTGTTTTGTGGAGTTTCTGTGAACGTTCCGCTGTTGCTTGGCGGGGAGGTGCTGGGTTGGTTATCTGAGACTTTGTCACGACATTTTTCTTGGTTGGTCAATATGTCTGGCTTTGCCTCTGCCTGTTTAAAGACGGCTTGTTGAGTGTCTGGTGTTGACTGTCGCACTGAGCTCGTGGTCAGTGGCAGATGGCTCCTGCCTGGATGGAGCGCTCTCGCACGTTGCCCCCTGAGGCGCGTGGTAGCCTCTTGCTGTAAACTCATGAGGCAGCCATGTACTTGGGGACCCCTATAAACAGAAAATCTCCCAGAAGCCCTACTTAAATGTGGAAAATCTAGGACTAAGGAGACTATGGAAAGGACACTTGTCTACAGTTGGGAGAGTTGAAATGAGAAGGCACCTTGCTTGTCCTCAGCTGGGGACTCCATTGTTTTGCTCATGAGCGACTTGTGAAAGTATTCTGTGAGTATTGATTTTTGGGGCTACAAATACACTTCATGAGTAGACTAGTTGACAAATATGGAGTCTGCAAATAACAGGATCGACTGATTTCTGATGGCTGCCTTCTGTCCCTTCCGCTAGAGAACCCCAATAAGTGACCACCCGCTCGTGTTTTGAGCGGGGAGGTTGGGCATTTTAAGTGGCTGAGTGTAACTTCCTTCTCCCTCTTTTTCCCAGTGTGGACGCTAGCCCTCCAGCCCAAGGAAGTCCTCTGAGCAGCCTCTTGCCTTCTGCATCGGTGCCAGAATCCATGACGATTAGTAAGTACTCCTCCCGCTGCCACCACCCGAACTGGCCTGGCTGTGGGTCTGTGCATCACGGAAGAGTCTTTGCACTTACTCCTACATGACTGAGGATGTGGCTGGCTGTGAACTTGAGGTGTGGTGCATGGTTGCAGGCTTTGGACCCCTGGGTAACCTGTGAGGCTGGGGTGTGTGCATCCTCTTGGAACATGCCTTGGGTGGAGTGGCACTGAGGTGGATGGGAAACTTCTGTGGCTCAGTTTCAGGGTTTGCTTCCTGTCAGGTGATCAGCAGCAGAGGAGAAGTCTAGGCTCCTTTTTGTGCTCCAGAGGAATCAGGTTTATCAGTGAGGAAGATGCAGCCTCCCCAAACAGGGAGAAATGTTGCTAATGATCAGACTTAAACTGTCTCCATCTTTACTATCTTAAGCAGAGAAAGCATTAGAGAGCAAGAGTGGGTTTGACTGGCTTTATATAACACAAATAAATCAACATGGCTGACAAGTTAGAGATGCCAATCTGAGGCAGCCAGGCTGGGACTGGTGCATGGCTCCATGGTCATTAGAAACCAGGGCTCCTCCTGTCTTGCCTTATAGGTCAAAAGGAGCTGTTTTAGCTCCAGCCATCTCATTCTCATCCCAGGAAGGAGGAAGGGGAAAGGAGAGGCTTTCTTTGGACCCTAAATTCTATATGTGGAAACAAACTTGGATCCCGTACAAATTATAGCTTTTTTTGGTTAATCAGCATCCGACTGAAATTTAGCATTTCCTTCAATTATGAAAGTAGCAGCAGGCCTTAGGAACTGTAGCTGCAGTGGCAGAGTGAGTGCCTTGGTCGCCGATCGAAGTCATAGGCACCTTTTAACAACTAGGGCATGATGACATCTTGGTTCACTTTCACTTTGAAATGCAGTAGTTCCTCAATGTGATAACGTGGGAACATGCATATGACTGTCACTTGAATGTTGTACATGTGGGTCATTCTCTTTCAACTTAAGCAGTTCCTTTGTAGTTTTTTGTTTAGTGAGTTTTTAAACATTGTTTGTTCTCTGCAAGGAAGCCCATGGGCTACCCTAGACCATGGAATAGGCCCCATGGTACATGACAGCAGAAGCCCCCCAGCTGTGGGGACCCACTCCAGAAGATGCGCACAGAATCACATTCATGTCTTGGGCCAACGGTAGTCCCTTGAGCTCCCCTGGCTGCAAAGGAGGAAACCTGCTCTCCCCCATGAGTCCCCCTCTAGGGAAGGAGGATGGAGTTTCAGAGGCACCCAGTGTTCAGTTTCAAGAAACGGGAAGTGGGTAGGTGCTCTGAGGTTGCTGTGGGAATGTATGGCTCATCCTCAGGCTTGAATTCAGCTGAGCAGGTATTTCTGGATCCCCAAGTACAGAGGCCATGTGGAGTAGGTGAGCTTGCAGGTTCCTGTTTTTGAGATTATAGCCATTTATTTACCTCTGTACTACCCCATGGTTGTGTGTTTTTTTTTTTAATGGTATCCCCCCAAAAAGCCACCCTCCCCCCAAAACAAAACGAAATATAACTTGAATGTTTTTATTCAGAAGGGAACCCTTAGCAGCTCTAGGTATGCAGTAATGACACTAGCAGCTGACTTCCATAGTGGGTAACTGAACAGAAGTAGAGGGAAATGGGGTCCTGGAGTGAGTCTGGCTGTTGCTGCCTGGGTTCTAATGGAGGCCCTCTCTCACTGTTGATGGAGGTAGAGGCTCCGGTTTCTTTTTCTGCTTGGGCCTGTGGCACCTCCACGAGGGGCACGCGTCTTGGTCTTCATGCAGCTACCAGAGACGAGTGGTGGATGAACAGAGCAAGAAAGCCCGTCTAGACCCTGTCTGGGGGCTGGCCCTGTTGGAGCTGCTGCTTGGGGAAAGGGACCCACTAGAAGAGACGGGAGTTGAGGCAGACATCCAGGTCCTGCCACCAGGCAGCCAGTCAAGAGCCACTGGAAAGCCACAGCCTTGGTGCCGGCGATGGCGCCTGAACTTGATTGAGGGACATGGTGAAGCTTGGGTGAGGGAGTTTTTGGAAAGGTCCTGCTGTTGGTGATATTCCTGGAGTTATCTCTGAGGCCTGTATGAAGGCAAGAAGGAAAGACTGAGATCTTGGCGAAAACACAACAGTAGTGAGATACTTTTGTGTGTGTGTGTGTGTGCTGGGGATTGAACCCAGGGCCTTGGGCATGCGAGGCAAACACTCGGCCAGCTGAGCCATATTCCCAGCCCTGTGATACACTTTTTTATGCCAGAAAAGGGGGACAGGCGGCCAAGGGAGCACCAGGAGGGTGTGGGTGATGCCTGGTGCCGGACTTGCACGTTTCCCAGAAGTCGTAAAAAGGTGGACAAGGACACGGGGGGTCCAGGGCCTGCTTAGCTTAGTGCCATGCCTACCGCTGGCACCACTACCTGTCCTGATGGGATACAGGTGTGTGCCACTGCACCTGGCTATATACACATTTTCTAAAGGGACTGTGGCTCCTGGGAAGTCCTGCTCTCAGGGAAGCAGGGTTCCCCGTTGGCTGCTCTTGGGGCTAAGGTAGGTCCCGGGGCCACCTCAGCTGCACCTGAGTGAGGTGCCACCAGCCCAGCTTGTGCGTCTTCACTCAGGCTGTTCCTCTGAACACTCCAGCGAGGCCCGCGGCAGGGATGTAAATTCTCTTGTTTTTATTCATATCATTTTCTAGAAACTAAACCTATTTTATTATAATCTTGGGCAGGTAGAGACATTTCCAGAATTTACGAGTTAAATGTCTGAAGAAAATATTGGCATATCCACTTGTGACCCCAGACGCTTGGTTCTAGTGTGGCCTGTGATGACCACCAAGAGGTTGGCCGGGTGGAGTTCTGTTTTCTGTGGCAGCTGGACATTCAGGAAGTCACCAGACAGTGGCACTGTTGTCCATGATGTGTGCTTGTCAGCCCAGGTGAGGGCTCCTGATTCTTGGAAATTTGGAGTGGAGGGTATTTTGTTTTGTTTTTTTTTTAATTTTTATTTTTTACTTGGACACAATATCTTTATATGTGGTGCTGAGGATTGAACCCAGGGCCTTGCATGTGCTAGGCGAGCGCTGTACCGCTGAGTCACAACCCCAGCCCCTGGAGGTGGTTTCGATTTGGGATCCCCCATCCTGTCCCTGCCTGCTGTGTCATCTGAGGAAAGCGGAAGGGTGGAGCTACACACTTTGACTGTTGGCCAGCTTGGGCTGCTAACAAAGGACCCCAGACTGTGCTTCAATAATAGAAGATGATTTTCTCATAGTTCTGGAGGCTGGAACGCCAAGATCAGTGTCAGCAGAGCTGGTTTCTGGCAAGGACTTCCTGCTTGGCTTGCAGACAGCCTCCATCTCCCTGTGTCCACGTACCTGGCCTTTCCTCTGCGATTTTGTGTGTGTACCCCTCTCTCCCTTCTTACAAGGATGCCAGTTCCATGGGATCAGGATCCTACCCTTGTGACCTCATTTAACTTGAATTACTTCCATAGAGACCAGCTCCAATAAAGACAAGAGTGGACATCTTGGAAGGGTATGGGGAGGTGGGAAGACCTGCTGTCTCTGCACATAGCTGCCCTGCCATCTGGTGGACAGGAAGAGGCCGAGGACAACGCGGTGGTTTCAGTGTCTTGCCCTCAATCCTGAACATTTCAGGGAGAGTATTTCAGTTGCTTTCAGGGCTGTGGAAACTGGAGAGGGTGCCCTCTTAGCTGTAAGTCACTCTGCCCGTTGCTGCCTCTCCACCTCTGGGGCACCCTCCTCTAGCACCCAGGGAAATGCTGAGTGACAACTCGGCTGTCCCAGGTAGTGGTGCCAGCAGTGGGCCAGGAGCCTGCCACACACTTAGTCTCCCCACTGGCGTGTCCGTGATGCAGATGGTGTTGCAGCGCTCGGCGTGCGTCATCGAGGTGGCCTAGGGAGTCTCGCTGCCTTACATCATTTTTAACTATGTAGGTAATAAATGGTGGCTGATATTATCCAAGTCTTTTAAACTCTCCCTCCCCTCCCCTTCTATTTCAAAAGCCTTTGTCTTGTGGGAACAAAGTATGACCTTAATTTCAGTGGGTAAATAGAAAAGTAGTTTGATAGGTTGAAATTGAAGCAAAAGAAAGTCCTATACATTTTTTAAAGTATTTATTTCTTAGTTGGACACAACACCTTTATTTCACTTATTTATCTTTATGTGGTGCTGAGGATCGAACCCAAGGTCTCACATGTGCAAGGCGAGCACTCTACCGCTAAGCCCCAGCCCCAAAGTCCTATATTTTTGAAATGAACTTAAACATAAGAAATCTGTTGTAACCCTGTAATGCCTTTTAAAATACCTAGGACTTTTTCTAAACCATCTTGGAATTGGTAGAAAATAGCTTTCCACTTCATATAAACTTTCTGCAGACCCCCAATTTTTTTGGGGGGCTACTGGGGATTGAATTTGGACACTCAATCACTGAGCCACATCCCCAGCCCTATTTTGTATTTTAGAGATGGGGTCTCAGTTGCTTAAGGCCTTGTCATTGCTCAGGCTGTCTTTGAACTTGCCATCCTCCTGTCTCAGCCTCCTGAGCCACTGGGATTACAGGCGTTCACCACCATGGCTGGCAGACCTCAGATTTTATGATGATGAAAATTTCATTTTCTATTTTCCAGTTTCATTTAACTTTGTATTTTTGTAAACTTGTGGCAACAATGTTTCAACATTGGGGGTCATCATCGGGGTGTCTAGGATGGTGCAAATGGGGAGTTGGAGGCAAGAGAACCATCGTGAACCATGGTGATGGAGACAGAATGGCCCAGGGTGGGGCCATCAGAGTAACTAATGTCTGTTTTATTGTGACCAGCAGGCTTTAGTAATGAGCAGTGTCACTGATGCATGATGTGGCTGGTGGGGCTGGCATGAGGGGGCTGCTAGGCGGTGGGGAGCGGGGATGATGGGTGGTACTGGTCAGATGGTAAGCGGTACTGGTCAGATGGTAAGGCAGGGGTGTATGCAGATGCATCTGACATTTCCTCTTTCTT